GTCGTAACCTGAAAAGTTCGTTAGTAGAGGCGTTCGTATCCCGAGGTACCACTATATTATGTTGATAAGGTGGCTTAGATGGGGAATGTTTACAGTACCTTGCAGCAATGATAGCTGTTAAGTAACTCCAGGTTCAGCAGCACTGAAGTATCATAATGTCAGCTGCTGAATGCAAAAGGGAGTGAAGGGCTAATACCCATACTGTATTTATGGACTTCCCTGACTCATGAGATTGGCTGTTATGGGAAATAGGATGCTGGATTTGTTGTCCCAGGAACCTCTGGGTTCATGGACCTGGCATGCCATGCCCAATTAAACATGCAAGGTAGAAATCTCTTTAATAACTTTATTCTGCAGAGTAAAGGGCACTTGCAAATTAGTTTTCAAGGCAAGCGCAGCGCTCCATGCAAATCATTGGGTTTTTAAACAGCTACAATCAGAAAATAATTTCATCATAGGTTAATGCAAGTCTATTGCTATACACAGTTAAAACACTCCTAAGAAGGTGGGTATGAATATCCAGAGGGTGGGCACTGTTTGTTGCCAAGGAAACCTTATCTATCTAAGTTAGTAGCGCTTCCAGCTGCATTCCATTCTCCAAGGGAGGAGTCTTACTTCTCTCTCTAGCTGATACTGGGCTCAATACACAAGGGGAAGGCAATTCAAACACAGTTTGCAACTTAATTATCTGCTCAGCAACTAGTGAAGGACAATTCTGGAGCCATACTACTGATTTCTTCAAATTAACCCTAAAACCACTATTCCATCAGATTAAATAGATTTCTGATCTCATCCTGGGTTAAATTTGCATTTGCGAAGGCCATGCAGGCAAGTGACATGATTATGTGTAGTTCATTATTTTAGTTTATTATTTAGGATTATTTTTTAAACTATTTTAACTGTTTAGCAGTTTTTAAATCAATGTATTATCTCAGTAGCTCAGTATTTCATTAAGATAGGATTCATTTACATAATTGTCTAAATAACTTAATAGACTTTTCCCAGTATTTTAGATTTTTTTCTCATATTTTGGTACCTCCATACGTAGAATTATTTTACTCTACCCTGACTATTTTGTTTAGAAACATCCTTGTATACAAACTTGTAACTTTTGTCACAAAACAATTATAAATTTTGCTATAAATCATAATAAAGGTTAATTTAATTTGGGTAGTATTTTTAAAATTAAGAATTTTTTTGTATGTTGTTTACACTTCTTTGGTTTTGGGGTTTTTTGTTTGTTTTGCTGTTTATTTATGTATTTTGCTTTTCAGACAATGCATTTTCAAGGTAAACTGAAATTTCTTTTTGGGCAAAAGAAGAAGTCTTCCTTGGGAACGGTATTACCTCCGCAGCTGTCTTTATTTTCCATAGTGGCACCACTACAGCTTCCTTCTGTGACTGATGGAAAGTTAAAAGGCCTCTGTAGGAAAGCCAGATGCAGAACTGATTATTCAGCCACAAAGCAAGTACAAATGCAGACACATATTATTGTATAACAGTTAATTGCAAATTTTGTTAATAGAAACACATATATTTAAAAATAAATATATGTAAATTTTCTTTTAGTAAAATCAAATCAATTTCCCCCAATTTTTTTTCAGTCCACCAAAGATTTCACACTTCATCTTTCAAATGATTAATGTTTTGAAGTTCTTAGTTTTCTACTATTTCAGTTACAATTAGTTTTTCTACCTTGTTTAAACCTACTATTAAAATAAGTTAGGATCTGGCTAATTTTACTCTCTACTATATGGAAGGGTAGTGGAAAAGAGATTCGAAAAAGAAAAGAAAAAGAACACATATTATAATAATCTTTATTATACAAAACTCAGGTAAACAGTTTACAGTAACAGTATTAAACCTTAACCACACAGAGTAATACTGATAATTTTTTGGTTACATTCCATGCTTGATAAAGCCAAGCTTTCAAATGTTGTGTATGTCATTGAACATCATAGCTTTAAATCATATTATTCTTCCTAATCCCATATTAACTTATTTATGGATATTAAACCATAATGGATGATAGCAGGTCAAGCTTATATCTGTGTAAATATATCCTCTATAATTTTATACTTCCAGCATAATAAAGTTGATAGCCAACCCTTTTTAAACATGTTAAACATTTTAACGTGTTGATAAACATGAAAAAAACTTTTGTTGAATTAGTCTCATTAATAAGAATAAGAAACATAATCAATACTATTAAGTCTTTGAACCATTCATTTATTAAAAAGGGGTATTATTTCAAAGTTCTTGCAAATAAATTTGCAAAAAAATTGAGAATCAATAAAAGGATTTTATATAGACCTCAGAAATAAGGAGGCTGGAGCATGCCCAATTTGATAATGTATTATCAAGCAGCACAATTAGGTCATAGGATTCCATTCATTAAACAATGGATCCAAATTGAAACTATATTAGAGACAAATAATTTTATAAATAAATGTTTTTTCACACAAAATATTTTTCTAGAATAAAACAGATTGAAAATGTTTTCACTAATATGATGCTTCAGGTTTGGAACTGTAAATACAGTAGAGTCTTGTTTAACCGACCTTCGCTTATCCGACATTCCGTCTTATCCGACGCCCCTAAAAAAACACAACATGCATAAATCAGTGACTTGAAAAGTGTGCTGCTTGTTTGCGAGCGTGAGTGTACTCTTTCTTATTGCTCCTGACGGTGCGCCACCGCAACACAAAAATTGATTGCAACAGGCGCAGCGGATCAGGTTTTTTTTTTGTTTTTTTTTACCGCACTCAATCGTTACTGTGTGTTATCTGACATTTTCACTTATCCGACGTTCTGCCGGCCCATTTATGTTGGATAAGCGAGACTCTACTGTACCTAGATTTGATAAAGGATACTTCTCCTTTAACTCCTTTAATAACATAATTAAATAATTAGAATTAAATTAAATATAATTAAAATAAATAATGATCAGGATAATCATTATGATTTGGCTAAAATGAAATTTTTGAGAGAATACAATGTTTATAGACTAAAAGATTTTCATAGTAAAAGGGAACCTCTCAATAAAGATCAGATAGAGCAATAAATGGGTGATTACCATGGTTCTTTTGGTATCAACTGAAATCTCTTTTGGGCAATAGAAATATTAGAGCTTCAACAACACAGCTTTATACTAATTTTGGTAATTTAATACTTCGCTATTTAGAACAATCAAAAGGAACAATCTCAAAAATGTATAGGTTATTACTGCAATTAGAAATAGGAGAACCACCCCATGGTTTAAAGGAAGCTTGGGATACTGATCTTGATAATTCCATACAGGAGACAAATTGGCAGAAACTATAGAAACTGGGTGAACTCACCTCAGCTTCACTGCAAGAACTTCAGTGGAAGATTATATATCGCTGGCACTTGATTCCAGTTAGACTGGCACATATATATCAAAATTAGTCTTCCAAATGTTGGAGAGGTTGTCAAAAAAAAAAGATCATTTTTTCATTTGTGATGGTCATGCGATAAAGCTATATCCTTTTGGTGTAAAATTTTTGGGGAGACAAGCACCATCACTAAACAAAGAATTGATCCTCCCCAGAGTTAGGATTACTGTATTTATTTACTAGACAAAGCCTCAAACTTAAAATTAAATAACTTATCTATTTAATTTTAGCAGCCAAAATAATAATTGTCCAACACTGGAAAACTTTAGATAACATAACAATTGAGATGTGGATTAATAAGGCCTCTTCATTTGCCACATTAGAAGAAATCACAGACATAGTTAAAATAACAAGACATCAGAGGCAGGAACCACAATTTTATCAAAGTTGGATGGACTTTACAATTTACTTCCATAGCAATAGACTATAATGTAGTATACTTTACATATATGGTAAATGTGTACATATACACTACCTGTCTATTTACATTGTAGTAGATTTTTTTGGTACTTTCTATAACTTTTTTTTCCTCTATATACATATTGGATTTATGTTAATGTAGTTACCTGATATTGTTTGTTAATCATAGTTCAATAAAACAATGAAAAAAAAGGAATAGATCTTCTAGGCCTCACAGCATCCATTGCTATAAATATAATCCCTATTTCAAGAGATCAGGTATTTCTGAATGCCAAATAGCAACAAATAATGGGTTGTTCCTTTATGCTCTGCTTTTTTTTTACTTCAAGAAATATCTGTCTGAGACTGTACTTGAAACAGAATGGGGAGCTAAGCAGCACATCAAAATATTAGAAGCTTTTTGAAATAATTTATTAGGTTATAATAAATACATAATTAGGAATCTTTTACCTGCGAGAATGTTTAGAATAAATAATATTAGGTGGCTAATATTGGAAAATGTTCAGAATAAATAGTAGCTAGTGTTGGATAATGATCATGTTCAATACAAAGCATAATAATACACATCTACATTAAAAATACATCAAGACAACTCATCCCAGTTTCATAACAGTCAATGGTTAATCTTGCCTGTCACTGGGTATGTCAGTATCATTGGTTACTAAAAAAAACTGTTTTAAAATGTTATTTTGTAGGCTAATTTAATTTTCTACATTTATTGAAAGGGAGGACAAGCATCAGATGATACCAAACAAAACCTCAAGGATGAAAGAGCAAGACAGCTTGAAAGTGAAGTTTGAACTTGATGAAGATAACAATGAATATTTTATTCAAAAAGAATTTCTTAGCCCAGACGTGTCTCTATTTGTTCAGCATAATAATAACAGGAATTGCATTTGGACTTCGAGGAATCCATCAAGTTCTTGTCCTAGCAGTCAATGTAATGACAATACATGCTCAAAGAAAATCCTAAGATGTTTCTATGATAAAGACCAGCAGTTATTCAATTTATCATCAACATGTCCTTCCCAGTGGTGTGGCATAGAGAATTACCAGCCTTATCCAGGCTTGCATCAATTTGCAGCAGACGGCTATTCAGGAGAATATATGAAATTACAGCCTCCGTCAATACCTCCAGAAATGATATATAAAATAAGGATGGCTCATAATGTGTCTATCAAAACTGAATACAATTCAGATTCTGAAAATACAGCTAAAAATACTTCCTCTGTTTCTCCAAGTTAGGTTTGGATGGGTGAAAACAGCCATCAATCTATTTACAGTAGAGTCTCGTTTAACCGACCTTCACTTATCCGACATTCCATCTTATCCAACGCCCTTAAAAAAAACACAACACACATAAATCGGCGCCGAAAAAAATGTGCCACTTGTTTGCGAGCGTGAGTGTACTCTTTCTTGTTGCTCCTGATGGTGCGGCGCTGCAACGCAAAAATCAATTGCAACAGGTGCAGCGGATTGGTTTTTTTTTTTTTTACCGCACTCAATCGTTACTGTGTGTTATCTGACATTTTCGACGTTCTGCCGGCCCGTTTATGTCAGATAAGCGAGACTCTACTGTACCTACTAGAATCCACCTTAGAACTGGTCCTTAGTGAGCAAGCATCTTCTTGTCAAACACCACAATACCATATATATTCACCATGTAACTGGCATTACACTACAACGCATCATACTGATACAAACAGAAAAAAACTTCAAAAAATATGCATAGTAACGGGACAGCTCCATTGTTCCCTCAGAACTATTCCTGTGTAGGAACTACAGAGCATGCAAGACCAATATTGCAGTAATCAGTTTTACCATTCCAATTTAGTAGAAGAGATTGTGCCAAATAGCCAGTTTTTGAGGACACATTCAGCATTTAAAAGTCCCAGCTTAATTCAAAGGATCAAACGTGAGCTATTCAATTCTGCTAATGTCTGCCAAAGAGCAGCATGGGATACATAATACATTCCCTGAAGCTACATTAGCAGGTCCTCACCCTCATAAAGTACAGGTAATCCTCGTTTAGCAACTATCTCGTTTAGTGACTGTTCACAGTTACAACAGTGATGAAAAAGTAACTTTATGACCAGTCCTCACATTTATGACCTTTGAGGATCTGTACAGCAAAGGAAAGCTAAAGATTATAAGCACAGATGTGGTTTCACATAGTGACTGCTTGGCTTAAAAATCAAGTTGCTGGTCCCAGTTGTGGTTGCTAAAGGAGGACTACCTGTAAAGGAAGAACAAACTGCATAATACATTAAGGTGTTTCCAAATGTTCATGGGATCAGTAATATAATGTAACACAAAAAGTGCCTTATAATTAGTAGTTCCTATTACAGGGGTTATTATAGTTGTGACCTTCAGGATCATACAAATTCTGTGCAATGCCTTCCCTTAATTCAAAGCATTCATCTACTAAACATGATATATAGAAGTGCCCTTAAAACTTACAAAAGCATGACCTAAAGCATAGTAGATAATACTGAAATAAAAGCAATCAAAACTAAATGCCAAACTCTTGCATGAAACATCAAAGCTCTTGGAAAATATAGACATACAATTTGTGGCTCTGAGTTCAAATGAAATCAAGAGGAAGTACCAGGAAAGTATAAGGCATGATTCTTTCTCATGACACATCTTTTAAAGCCCAAGTG